TCGCTAAAATCATCAAAATACCGAATATAGGGAGGTACCGTTATATGGGGGCTATGCGAAGACGTTAACCTGCACAGACTATTTTCTGTCTTAGGCTGTAGTATCCATTACGAATTCCAAATACCAAATTTGAAACAATTCCGGTGAATAATGTGGCAAAAATCATCAAAATACCGAATATCAGGAGGTACCGTTATATGGGGGCTATACGAAGACGAGGACCTACATGGCCCATTTTCTGTCTTAGGCTGTAGTATCCATTACGAACTTCAAATACCAAATTTGAAACAATTCCCGTAAATAGTGTCGCTAAAAGCATCAAAATATCTAATATCCGGAGTTAACGTTATATGGGGGCTATACGAAGACGTGGACCTATACATACAATGTTTCGCCACCAGAGCTAGAACCCATTATGACCGATAAATACCAATTTTTAGACAAATCCGTGAAAAAATGTGGCAAAAATCATCAAAATACCGAATATAGGGAGGTATCATGGGGGTTATAAATGGTGGACCTGCACAAACAATTTTCTGGCATGGGCTGTAGTATCTATTACGAACTTCAAATACCAAATTTGAAACAATTCCCGTGAATAGTGTCGCTAAAATCATCAAAATACCGAATATCCGGAGGTAACGTTATATGGGGGCTATACGAAGACGTGGACCTGCACAGACAATTTTTCTGTCTGAGGCTGTAGTATCCATTTCGAACTTCAAATACCTAATTTGAAACAGTTCCGGTGAATAATGTCGCTAAAATCATCAAAATACCGAATATCCGGAGATAACGTTATATGGGGCCTATACGAAGACGTGGACCTACATGGCCCATTTTCAATACCAAAAGTCCTGCAGACATAATAGACATTTGAGTAAATTTTTATCAATCTAATCCATTTCGTTTCCAAGGTAGGGGGTATAAAAATAAAAAATACGGCAGTTGGATTTTTCGCTGAATTAGATTTTCCGAATTTCTCGGTAATGACTTTTTCTAAAAAAATCTTTGTCAGCATAAAACTTATTTAAATATTTTTTTTTTAAATAAACATAGTTTGCTTAGCTTATATTTTGCAGAGTAACATTTTCTTGAAATTTGCCCATCCCCGGAATTTGCCAGGCCTAAATCCCCCCAGTCTAAAATTTATTGCTTTCATGTAAACGGTGTTATCTGACAAATATCTCGCTGTGACTAACTATCTGGAATGCTTTGGAATTCCAAACTTATCAACTACTAATGTTGTTGTTGGTGTTATTGTTGTTCTTGTCATTTTCCATGTTCTCTATCCAGAATAAAACTAAAGACAAAAAAACAGAAACAAAAACAAAAGTAATTATTAGCCAAGAATCTCCAGATAAGAAGAAGTCACGGTGTTATCAAAGAACCTCGGAACATATCAGAAAGTCAGCAACAACAACAACGCCCCAGCTCAAAACACTTATCAGCGATGATAATAGAGATAATGAATTCCGAGTTTTGTTTTTGCGACAACATGTCTAACTATCTGAGGCATTGTCTGATTAGGCAAAACAATTCCGTATATATATTACATGCCATATATAAATAAATATCTAACAACAACAACACGAAATGACGAATTCCAAAAAGACCTCCTAAGAGCCCATGAGCCCCGATTTTCATCAATTTTTCCACACCAGAAATCTTCTTCAAAAAAAAAAAAAAAAAAAAAAAAAAAAAACAAGAATTTAGCAATTGATTTATTGCCCCACCCATTTGATCCCCCGCCCCATTTGATGGACATGGGAATGGTGGCGAACGTGACAAACGATTTTCGTAGCATTTGTGCAATCAGCAATGATTTGTAATACCTCCTTCGCCTTCGTTATCAGAGAAAGCTCGTTGCCTACGTTGGCTGGTGATAAGCATTAAATAAATAATTGTACTTTTGCAATTTGCAGAATGGATACGTCATTGTATTCGCGGTACCAATTTTAGATAAGGAGGCACTCATTGTAAAATGGAGTACCCAGTCGTAAAAAAAGCAAAAATATTTTGGGAAGGTCATTTGGAAATATCGGTCCTTTAGTTAGAATTCAGAATTATGATAAAAATAAATTCCTTCCAGCCTAGGTCAACACCCCAAGGACTATTCAGCAAATTCAATTCGAGAGGGAGGACATTTTGCAAGATTTTCAAAAAAAATAAATAAATAAATAAATAAATAGAAGTTATTTTTTATACCCTCAGATATTGGGGTACAGGGGGTATATATTATTTCTTACGACTAAAATGAGCCTTATCGAAATAACGGTTTTTGACCCTAGGACGCTTTGGACCAATTTTTTTTTCAGGACATTTGGACGCGATCTAGGAGTATCCATCCGTAGTCCGTATACGAAGGAAGTATCCGACTTGGTTTAAACTTGGTACATCGTTATATTATTATTAATCTTAAATTGAGTTCGGAGATGTGGAACATCAGTCCACTCCTTCGGGTACCTCCCCCACAAAGGTTAAACTTTTTTGAATAACCAAAATCCTCATAAAAATCGAGATAAACGTCCAATACTTTCCAAACATCACACATCCCAATGTTTCTACTAGCACAAAATCTGATGCAAAGATTATAGATATCGACCCACCCCTTCTGGTACCTCACCACCCACCAAGGCGACAAAATGTTGTATAACTAAACTCTTCATAAATTGCGAAAAAGGCATCGGATTCTTTTTAAACTTCAAGCATTCCAATATTTTTACCAGTAAAATATGTGGTGTGAAGATGGTAGATATCGGCTCACCCCTTCTAGTACCTACCCCATAACGGGGCAAAATTTTTAAATAATTCGTTTTAAACTCAACAAATATCAATATTTATATAAACACAAAATCTGGTGCGAAGAAAGTAGAGATCGACCAACCCCTTCTAATACCTCCCCCACAAAGGGGTCAGAATTTTGAATAACCAAAACACTCATAAAAAGCGAAATAAGTATTAGATTCTTTTCAAACTTGGCACATCTCTATATTTTTGTCAAAAGAAGATCTGATGTGAAGGTTACAGATATCGGGCCACTCCTTCTGGTACCTCCCCCACAAAGGGGTTAAAATTTTGAATAACCAAAACGCTTATAAAAAGCGAAATAAACCACCGATTCTCTTCATATCTCACACATTCTAGTATTTTTACTGACACAAAAGCTGTTGTGAAGATGATAGATATCGGACCACTCCTGGTGGTACCTCCCCCACTGAAGGGTCAAAATTTTGAATAACCAAAACGCACGTAAAAAGCAAAATAAGCCCCCGATTCTCTTCAAATTGTACGTATCTTAATATTTCTACTAAAACAAGATCTGGTGCGAAGATGGTAGATATCGGACCACACCTGGTGGTACCTTCCCCACAAAATGGTCAAAATTTTGAATAACTAAAACGCTCATAAAAAGCGAAATAAGTCCCCGATTCTCTTCAAATTTCACACATCTCAATATCTTTACTGACACAAAAACTGGTGTCTAGATGATAGATATCGGTCCACTTCTAGTGGTACCTCCCCCACCAAGGGGTCAAAATTTTGAATAACTAAAACCCTCATAAAAAACGAAATAAGTTTTCGATTCTTTTCAAACTTGGCACATCGCAATATTTTTTATCAACAGAAGATCTGGTGTGAAGGTGATAGATATCGGACTACTCCTGGTGGTACCTCCCCCACAAAGGGGTTAAAATTTTGAATAACCAAAACGCTCATAAAAAGCGAAATAGTCCTCCGATTCTCTTCAAATTTCATATATTCCAATATTTCCACAAACACAAAAATTAGTATGAATATGGTGGATATCGGACCACTTCTTCTGGTACCTCCCCCACAAAGGGTTAACATTTTGTGAATAAGCAAACTGCTAATAAAATGTGAAACATGCATCCAATGCCTTCTAAACTTCACACACCCCAATATTTCTTTCAACACAAGATCTGCTGTGAATGTGGAATTTGTCGGACCACTCCTTCTGGTACCTCCCCCACAAAAGGGTTGAAATTTTTAATAACAAAAAATGCTACTAAAATGCTTATAAGGCATGCGATTCTTTTCAAACTCTACACATCTTAATATTTCTACTAAAACAAGATCTGGCGCGAAGATGGTGGATATCGGACGACTTTGTCTGGTACCTCCCCCACAAAGGGTTAAAATTTAGAGAATAATCAAACTGCTCATAATATGTGAAACAAGCATCCGATGCCTTCCGAACTTCTCACATCCTAATATTTCGAACAACACAAGATCTGCTGTAAATATGGAGTTTGTCAGACCAGTCCTTCTGGTACCTCCCCCACAAAAGGGTTAAAATTTTGAATAACAAAAAATGCTCATAAAATGAGAAAAGGGCATTCGATTCTTTTCAAGTTGTACAAATCCTAATATTTCTACTAAAACAAGATCTGGTGGCAAGATGAGATATATCGGTCCACTCCTTCTAGTACCTCCCCCACAAAAGGCAAACATTTTGATAAAAAAATTATTCGTAAAAAGTTTTTATAAACCTTCGATTTTCTTTATTTTTTTTATTTATTTTTTTTTTTTTTTTTGTTACTTTCGTATATTTTTATTATTATTAGATGAAGAGGAATACTTCGGTTCACTATATGTAACACCTCAGGCACATTTCAAAAATTTTCCCAAATTATACCCACAATGCCTATACAGGTTTAGTAGATCTGGTTCTTGAACCCTCCCCCAAGAAATTTGAAAATTTTGTTCCAGTGGTTGTTATTTTTATCCTAATTCCGAGAAGGCACTAAGTATTGAACTCTCTCCCATGAAAAATATCATTCCCGGAATAAGAGAAATAATAACTAGATTTGAAAAAAAAAAACAAAAAAAAAAAACAAAAGTTTTTACAAAAAAAAAAACCGCTTTTGAAAAATCATGGATTTTTTTAATTAATTATTTTTTTTAATATTTTCCCAAAAGAAAAAGTTTATTTGGCAAATATTTTCCTTGTTGCCCCAATGTTTTACAAAAAAAAAAAAAAATAAATAAATAAAACAACTTCAATGAGAATTATTTTCCCAAACGAAACTACAATGTTCCGAACAAGCCTACAAATCACCAAAACATCACGGACAATGAGATGGAAGGAAGAAGGGTCCGGCATGCCGGCCGGCTGGCCGTCCGGGCGATGTTGGTGGAGATACGCAAAAATTGCGACGTTATTTAAAAACGATACGTTTCAGATGTTGAAGATTCACAAGGCATTTGGACGGCAGACGACATGGAACAGCTCACACAGAAATCGGTATCCGAAAAAGCAAAGCAAGACAACACAACTGGCGGGTGGGCCAGGCAGCCAGCCAATCCGCCAGCCAGCAAGTCGAATTGTTTTAAGCGAATAGATATCATCCTCATTAAAAAAATGTATTTATCATTTCAGGCAACAAAAAAGCTTAATGGATGACAATAACAACAACAACAAGAAAGCTAGAGAAAACGTTGAAAAAAAAATAAAAACAAAATTTGCAAATAAAACCGCAACCGGTCGGTCTGTCGGTCGCTCACTCGCTCGGTCTAATGTTAAAAAATTGTAAATTAATAAAAGCCAGCAGCGGCAGCAGCAACAACAATGTGGACCTGCGATCGCACGTTCACTCACACACACACACATGAACTCGGCTAAGTACACATGTGCCACCATAAACAGCATAGAAAGCAACAACAACAATAAGAATGAAAAAAAAAAAAATAACAACATCTAACGAAAGTCCCAAATGCATGTCCGCACACACACACACACACACACCAATACTCCCACTCATGCTCAGTCCGTCAGTCTGTCGTACCGCCATCAGCCAGCCAGTCAAGCCATTTGATTCACAACAAACTATCCCTCCATCCAGCCAAGACACAACTAACACACATTCCAAATGGCATTCTCACCAGCCAGCCAGACGGTGGCACCGAACGACCGACCGACCCATTCACGTTCGAAACGACAAACCAGGCAACCTACGAACCATACCAACAAACAGCATGCCAACATGCACTAACGAACAGGTCCCCCCCAATGGGCTCCCTCCACCACACAGTCAACCAGCTCCACACAACACAACTTTTTTCGAACAGAAAAGCAACAACAACACAAGCCAAAACGCGCCCCAACGTCAAACTTAACATCACAGAGACAAACAGACAGACAGACACAAAGTCGGTCTAACGAACATTCATTGAGACTCGTCAAATTTTGTATTTGGCTCCGCTTCGTTCACAATTCACACTCGTCCCGCATTAGCAGCGGCAGCAACAACAAATCCCAGCCAGGCTATTTTTAGCAAATTCTCTCATCATCACTTTGCCGCGATTTGCCAGCGATCTCGTTATGGCCAACGCTGATTGGCTGGAAAATTGTGGCACTCGCGAATGTTGGCAGAGGTATTCAAACGACAACCAGTTTGTTTTTCTTTCTTTCTAGCCCAGCGAGAGGGACCGGCGAGGGACAGCAACTGGGGCTGGGGAGCTCTTATGGCAAATAATCGCATACATTTGAAACAACAGCAACAAGAACAACCGCACTCACAACAATGTGCAAAAACAAAAAAACAGCACAACAACACCACAACGACGACTACACACAAAAGCAATAAAAACAAACGGCAAAAGCCGAAAGCGGAACGAAAGAGTCTCCCCGCTCTCTCTCCCTCACCGTAAGCAACCCCACCACCCAAAAACAATTCTTTATCATAAACAACACAGTAAATAAAGTTCTTAACACATCTTGGGTAGGTTCTCTTTACTTTTGATCACAAAGAGAGGGAGGGAGGGAGTAGAGAGAGGGCAGTTAGCTTGTCAATGCAAGGTATTTGTGCTGCTGCCGCTGTTGTTTTTTCGTATCGAACAAACATCGTATCGTCGGGTTGGAAACGAAAAACATTTGCAAACCACAGTTTGGGCCAATCCCCAACCGCAAAAGTAACGAAGATTAACGAACACCCCACAAAGGCACAGTGTGGCGAGATGGGGAAAAAATAAAAGGAGTATTTTTTAAAGAAAAAAACATTTGCGTATTTGAAAGTATTTTATAGAAAAATGTAATTTTATCTTAGAATATTTGCATTGATTTTCAAGAGAGAAAAAATATTTTTTAGAAAATATATTTAAAAAAAATATTTTTTAGAAAATATTTTTTAAATATTTAATTAAAAAAAATATTTTTGAAATATTTATTTAAAATTTATTTTTTAAATATTTATTTAAAAAAAATATTTTTTGGGAAAATTTTTTTTTTTTTTATAATTTTTTTCTAATAATTATATTTTTATACATTTTTAGACAAAAAACATTTTTTAAAGCTAATACATTTTTAGGATTTTTTTTTAGAAAAAAAATTTTTTTCTTAAAAATCTAATTCATTTGAGAATTTTTTTAATTTTGAGAAAAATGGAGCCCGAATAATATTCTGGATAACTATTTGGGCGTGGATAAAACTCTGGATAGTAAATTTGGGGTATAATATTATAATGTTTCGGATGAAAAATTAGGACGTAAATTACATTTCGGATAAAAATTATGGTGCAGGAAATATTTCGGAAAAAATTAAGGTGTGGACAATATTTCGGATAAAAAATTATTGATTCGGATAAAATATTACGGCTTGAATAAAAATTAATGATTCGTATAAAAATTAAGGCGTGGATAATATTTCGGATAAAAAATTAAGACGTGGATAATATTTCAGATAAAAAATTAAGACGTGGATAATATTTCGGATAAAAAATCAAGGCGTGGATAGTATTTCGGATAAAAAATCAAGGCGTGGATAATATTTCCGACAAAAAATTACGGCGTGGATAATATTTCAGATAAAAAATTAAGGCATGGATAATCGGATGAAAAATTAGAACGTATATTATGTTTCGGATAAAAAATTAAGGCGTAGATGATATTTCGGATAAAAAATTAAGGCGTGGATAATATTTCGGATAAAAATTTAAGATGTGGATAATATTTCGGATAAAAAATCATGATTTGGATAACAAGTTCAGTCGTGGATTATCTTTCGGATAAAAAATTAATGATTCGAATAAAAAATTAAGACGTGGATAATATTTAGGATAGATAAATAAGGTCGTGGATAATATTTCAGATAAACAAGTTAAGTCGTGAATAGTATTTCAAGTAAAATTTTTTTTGGACAAGCAATAAGGGCGTGATTAATATTTCGGATAAAATATTAATGATTTGAATAATAAATAAAGCCACGGATAATATTTATATTTATAAAAGATAATTGATTCGAATAAAAAATTAGGGATAATAATTCGGATAAAAATTAAGGCGTGGATAATAGTTCGGATAAAAATATATGTGTTTATTATGTTTCGGATAAAAATAACTGCGTCGATAAAGTTTCGGATAACATGGATAATATTTAGAATAAATATTTAGTCATGGATAATATTCTGTATGGCGTGGATAAAGCATGGAATACTAAATTTGGGTTACGGATAATATTTCGGATAAAAAATTGGACTTTGATAAATATTAGAATAAAAATATTTGGATATATGTCAAGCCTTGGGTGGTAAATTGGGGCAAAATAACATTTCAGACGTGGATAATGTGTCGGATAAAAATTAAGACATATATAATATTTCGGATAAAAATACGGAAGTGGATACGATTCTGGATAAATGTCCAGGTCATGGATATTATTTCGAGTATAAAAACTAGGGCGTGAATAACTTCAATAACACCGAGGATAGATGTTTTTGTGTGGACAGTGCTTAGGATATTAAATAGGGTGTGGATAAATCAATGGATAAAAAATTGTAGTGAGAATAATGTTTTTTTTTTTTTTTTTTTTTTTTTTTTTTTAAGTAAAAAATAAAAAAAATTAGAATCCCATGAAAAAATTCATTACAAAATTTAAATATATTGAAGAATACAATATGAAAAACAATTTTAATTTTCCCTTTAACAGTCTCTTAATATGAGTTTGCCCTACTCTGCTATATATCTTCTATGATAAAACAGAAAGACTCAAAGGTCTCAGTCAATTCACTTTTTCAAGACAGTCATTCAATGCTAAAAGACCTCAGTAAATTTGTTTCTGCATATAAAATTTTGTTGCAAAAAATTCACACAATCGATTCCAGTTATTTCCCATTTTGATCCACTGTGCCTGGAAGTACTTACTAAGATTTAATTTAAATTTACTAACTAAAACGACTATCAAGCACAAGTGCAAATAAACATCCAAACACAAACGCATACACATCATACTCTCCACACAGTGTGCCGGCAAAAGTATTTATCAATAAAAAAAAAAAACAACACATTTCTCTATTCTCTTTGTAAATACAATCCCTTCGGTACTTAGACCCCAGCCTCCAACCACATTCTCTTGCATTACAATTGAAATAACAATAATAACGGAGATTATTGAAATTACTTTCTCTTACTCTCAGCCATACACTTCTCAGACTCCAGTGTTCTCATCCCCAACACACAAACACACAACGGTTTCCAGCCACCCACCCACAAAAATGGGGGGAGAGTGAGAAGTAATTACTTCTGTGTACCTCAGGTCTTGTGAGTGTTGTTTTTATTTTTTTATTTTTTATATGAGAATGCAATTTGGGAACAAAACCAATAACAACAAGAAATTATTGTTGTTTCTCCTCTCCGATGGCATATGCAAATTGTGTGCGCGTTTATTCCCTCACTCATTTGTGTGTGGCTTGTTGTTTTTGCTGTTGGCCTATTATCAATTGAAAAGAGTATCCCTCAATTTATGTTTTTCGGAATTGAATCGGCCCGTGAGTGAGTAATGAATGGAAAAGAGACTGACTTCCAGTCTCAGAGTATAGATGATTCTGCTTTATCTATTGCCCAGAATGGTATCTCATTAAATTTTCTTGTCCCAATAATGGAAAGTAACTACATTTTGTTTAAGGAAATAAATGAGAAAGGCAAATAAGGGAAGGGAAATGTGATGACCCAAGGGTTAAGATAATATAATAATTAAATTAATATTTGATTAAAGAATGTATATGCTTATTTTAAATGTAACATTTTGACATAGTCTCTGTGGGAAGGTCTACAGATCCCCATTGAGAAAGTCTTAAGGTTGAAGTAGAAGAAGTAAGAAGAAGCTTGAAGCCATGACTAGGCATAATAATGTCAAATTATAATGGAAAACGACGGCAGGATTTTAATCCGTCCCTAATGAAATCCCTTTATGAAATGTCACAAAATATGCCTAGCCATGACTTCAAGCTACTTATGTACATACAGCCTTAGATCTTCCGAGAGAAATTCGTTGGATTTTGATCTTTGGTCTTTCACGAGTAGGAATTCTTAATTCTTTGAATCTTCTTTAATGTGCTCCTGGATATTCTAGAAAGTTATCAAATCTTCAAAGAGCAGAACGTTTTTGATGAGATATTCGATTCTTCTATGACAAGAAAAGCTTCTCCGATAATTTTTGCCAATATAACCAATTTTTATTTTCGAATCTTCGCATATTCTAAATTCATCGGAGCTTTTTTGTGATATCCTTGATATTTTTGAGAATAACTCAGATCTTCTATTAAAAGATCGGTCGATTTTGTAGAAGAAGATCATCAAATGGCTCAGAAGAAGATCGTTTTATCCACACATTATTTATCGCTAATGTTATAATCTGTATCTATGTATCTATGGATTTATCTATACTCTCGTAATGTATCTATTGAATTTATTTAGTCCTTTTTATGTATATTTTGTATTATCTAAACTTATAAAATGTATCTATGTATCTTAAAATAAATCTTGGAGAATATCTTTCAATCTGCAATGTATCTATACATTTATCTATATACTTAAAATGTATCTAAATGTTTACTTTGGCATTTATCGTGTATCTACAATTCATATAATGTATCTTTTTACATATCTTTATACTTACAATGTATCTATTGGTTTTTCTATGCATTTAATATGTATCCATTGGGTTATTAAGGTATTTGTTGGTATATCTATGATAATTCAATGTATCTTTGGGAGTATCTTCAAATGAAAAATATATCTAGTGGTTTTTCTACATAATTTTAGTCGCTCTATTGAGATTTTCACATTCTTAAAATGTATCTATTGCATTATTTAGATGCCGAAAATGTATCTATTGATTTATTAGCGTCTTAAAATGTATCTGTGGAAATATCTACACACTTGAAATGTATCTATTGCATTTTTTAGATACCGAAAATGTATCTATTGATTTATTTGCGTCTTAAAATGTATCTATGGAAATATCTACATATTTGAAATGTATCTATTGCATTATTTTGATGCCGAAAATTTATCTATTGATTTATCTGTGTCGTAAAATGTATCTGTGGAAATATCTACACATTGGAAATGTATCTAGAAATGTATCTATGCACTTAATTTGTATCAAAAGGTTAACTTTGGCATTTATGTTGTATCTACAATTCATAAAATGTATCTTTTTATATATCTTTTTATTTATAATGTATCTATTGGGTTTTCTAGGCCTTTA